ACATTTTAACAACAATGACCATTATTTGTGTATCACTTATGTTTATTTACAGTAACTCATCTACAAACATGAGTTATGGTTCTTGTTTTTCTTATAATGTTTAAATTTGGTGTTAAACTTTAACTTAGATTAATTTTGTGTGTGTGTTTTTTTTAAAAGCCAAACTTAAGTAAAAAAAAAAAAATATATATATATATATATATATATATATATATATATATATATATATATATATATATATATATATATATATATATATATATATATATATATATATATATATATATATATATATATATATATATATATATATATATATATATATATATATATATATATAGACATATACATACAATACTGATGAGATTAAGTAAAATGAATTGTTTAATGTGCGCTGAATGCGTGAGAGTTGGCAGCCGAGTAAACAATGATTGACAGCAACAGCATTTCTCTGAGCAAGTTTAAGTCAGCTTCTCTGCCACCTCATTCACCTCTACTGTACATCAATAGGTATTCATATGTTAAAGAGAAACAAAAGTTTTAGTATAAATTTTGTACAAATTCGGTACATAAAATTCAAGATCTTGTCTTGAAGATGATCTCTGGATGAACTGTAAAAAATAAAATCTGTGTAAAAACCATCTAATGCAGATAATGAGTTGGAACATAATACTATATATCCTCATTGTTTTTTCACCCAGTAAAATGGCCACCTTCTCTTGACAGTCTGATCTTTTAAAAGGGTGATATATGAAGAGGTTATTTTAATTTTCAGTCATTTTTTTGGCTTAGTCTTTTAGTTACGAGGGGTCGTAGAAATAAATATTCCACCATATGTTCTTAACAGCGGATTCCCTTCCAGCCACAACCCAGTACTAGGAAACACCCACACTTGTTCAAACACACACACATACACTATGGCTAATTTAGTTTATTCAATTTGGGGGGAAGCTGAAGCACCCAGAGGAAACCCACGCCAACACTAAGAGAACATGCAAACTCCACACAGAAACGTAAATGGTCTTTAAAACGTAGATGGTTGTTATATGGAACTTAGGGTATTTAAAGTGGCTTAGGAATCGTCTGATTGGTCAATCATAAATTGAATAATGCAGGACCAGCCAGAAGCAATCATCAGCACATGATCCTCTCGAAGTTAGTTTATAAATAAACTTCACTTAATTTTTTTGTTCACATGTTTTTTTTTAAATAAATTTTTTTTTTTTTTTTTTTGCAATTGAAAACTTTCATATTTAATTAATGTAAAAACATGATTTCTGAAAACTACTAACATCTCCAGTTTTAGTAACGATCTCTGTAAAAAAAAATGAGCTGTTTTACAAATGAACTCGTTATATATACTTCCTGCTGCTGTGTAACAGGAGTCTGGAGTTTTTGACCAGACTGTGTAGACTGGACTATTATTAAATATTTGTGTCTCATATACCGCATTGAGCCACTTTAACATCTTTCCTCTTCATTAACTATACAGTGCACCTGCAAATCAGATACTGGCATGTGAAACAGCCAATGAAGTATTGTAGGAATCGCCACTGTAGGTCTTTTTTGTATGCTGTTTGTCTTATTTTACTAGCATCTACATCAACAATCCATCTAAAACTACAACTATTTGTGAAAACAAATTTGAGAAGGCATCAATGTGAGGCTAAAAAAACTAAAAAAAGAGCTAAAAAAGGCTTCGTCGCTACCAAAAATTAAAGTCCAAATTAAAGACATTTATTCTCTAGGTCTTTCTGAAGCAAAAGTCCTTCCCTTTCAAAAGGGTGGGGGGGTGTTGGGAGTGGGGAGAGGGAACTAAACGGTCATGTTCTCTATTGTGTTTAGGGTTGGTCAACTGTGGTAGCATCTATTAAACATCAAATTTTTGAAAAAGAAAAAAAGGCTAATAATTTTGACCTCCACTCTATAAATTGAGAATGTCAAAATGTCTTTCAAGATGGAAAAAGGAGAAACTAAATACATGAATGAATAAATAAGTGACAAAAACAAGTGTGTGAGATTGATGAAGTGGTCATAATAAAGCACTGTAACTCTTAAGTAGATAAAACCATTGATTTTTCAATAAATCTTTTGCTGGCGCTGATTCTCTCATTTAAGGCATTAGACATTTATCCCATTAAACCTATTGCTGGAAAAAAAAAACAGAACTGAGATGGACAAAATAGACAAGCTTAAGTACTACTAAAAACATAATAATAATAATCATGAAGACAATGTGTGTAAAAGTACACGAAGACATTTGAGAAATGTCAATCAGCTGACCCTTTCTTTAAATAAAATAAAATAAAATAAAATAAAATAAAATAAAATAAAATAAAATAAAATAAAATAAAATAAAATATAAAACGTCAGGATTATGATTCCAGAGGGGAAAAAAAGCTAATCTTTTGGAAGTTTGTCATTATTTTTCAAGACGTAAGCACGACTCGGCGCTGACATTTGGATGCGGTCCAGAGCTGTTTGTGCCAAATCTAGAGTGGATTCTGATAGGCTGCAGCTGCCCTGAACGATATTGAAAGGTTTTGAGTGACAGCGCTGAATCACATCTAGACTAAAAAGTCAAGCTGGCTTTTTGAAAACCCACTGAGTTTGGCCATTAAAGGCTGTTTTTAAATCTGCTGCGATTAGACGCTCGTCATGTGACCTGCTCAAAAACACGTGACCCTGGTGAGGTCACCTCGGCAAATACTAAGATGTGCATTGATGTACACTGATGAATACTGAGCTGAGGGCAAATTTATTAACCCCCTGGGAAATATTCAAATATTTCTCAAGTGATATTTAATGGGGCAAAGAAATTTTCATAGTATTTTCTATAATATTTTTTCTTCTGGAGAAAGTCTTATTTGTTTTATTTCGGCTGGAATAAAAGCAGTACTTAATTTTTTTTAAACCATTTTAAGGTCAAAATTATTAGCCTCTTTTAGCTATATTTATTTTAAATTGTCTACAGAATAAACCAGTTAAACAATGATTTGCTTAATTACCCTAACCTGCCTAGTTAACCCTTTAAATGTCACTTTAAGCTGAATACTAGTGTCTTGAAAACTATCTATAAAGGATTGCCAATAATTCTGACCTAATTCTATACCACAAAACAGTTCTCGTGACACTACAATAAGCATACCGCATTGTCCTTTCCCAAGCACTTCCTGTTTTAGTTTCCTAGCAGACAGCTAATAACACACAGGCACAGCAGAAGCACTCTTCGCCTCGACATTTACAGTCTTGCGGAGTGAGTTTGATCGACCATCTGGCCTCTGAGAAGTGCGTTGTAAAAACAGTGAAATCAATGGAGGCATGTCTACTGGATGCCCACCATTACCCGAAGCGTGTTGATGGTGAAACACACGGCGAGCGGCTGCAGAGACCTGCCTGCCTGCTCTCTTTTGGACACAAGCCTCTCTAATGAATTTCCATGCTATGATGCTTACGATGTGGCAAACAAAACCTCCCGCAGGCCCGCTGGAGCACAGTAAGCCCTCTGGTGGTACCAGGGTGGACTCCAATGCCTTTACACGTACTATGATGCATGCTGGGTGTAGTTGTTTTACTGCAGCACATACTTATATGTGCATCCCCACTAGTCCACTCCCGCAAGTCCACGCATACTGAAATATGTCATAGCTTATTTACTAATTACAATTTACTTATTAAGTATATTTACTACTAATGACACACTTATCCAGACATGAATGCTTTCAAAGGAAGATATGACTCGGTTGTGTCGATGCGAACACACTTTTTTTTTTTTTTTTAAATCTCTACAAATGTTAGCAATTACGCTGTCGCAACAAAATAACGGAGATGTCACAAATCACTCCAGGACAATGTCATTGAAGTCACAACCACAGTCATCAATCACAAGCGTGGAAAGAAAGCGGGCGAAAGGCGATGTTAACTTAAAATGCAATTAATGCAATTATTTTTTATATTTATATTAATTATTTATTTTTATATATTATAAAAAATATATATTTATACATTTTATACATTATATATAATTTATAAATGTTTATTTTATTATTTATATTATTTATTTATTTATATTTACATTTTTAGATAGATAGATAGATAGATAGATAGATAGATAGATAGATAGATAGATAGATAGATAGATAGATAGATAGATAGATAGATAGATAGATAGATAGATAGATAGATAGATAGGCTATTATATCAAAAGTAAATATTTTAGGCAGGGAAAATACATAAAAGAATAACTAAATATATCTTTAATCTATAATGTAATTCTACAAATATATGGAACAGCACAAACAGTTGAAGAGCAGTGAGCAGTTCTTAAATCGAGAGATAGCAATAATCTAATCTGAGTCTCTTTGGAAGTTGAAGGCTGTGCTTGGACATGTTAATGTCTCATAATGACATTTCGAGGCGTTTTTTTCCTTCTGCATGGCATCGAACCACTTGTCAAAAGTGATCTGCCTTCAGACAAAACTGTATTGATCTTTATTGGGCTCCTGTCTCCGCTCGGCGCACATATTTCAGCTTCTCAGACTGAGAAAAATCTCCGCTTTGTCAGGTTGCACGAGTCGTGCGTAAAGGTGAGGTTTTCCAGGCAAACTTCACGCAGCGCGATCTGTTTCCTAGATCACCTGTTAATACTGCGAACTCATTGTTTATCATTGTATATTAATATTTTACAAGAAATACCGTCACTCATCATCTCCAAACACCAGCATAATTCCATGTGCCACAGTTAAGAGTGTCTTTCCAATTGTTTATGAGATCATGAAATCAATGCAGCACCATCTGTCCCTGAGACGCGCGGCATGCTGATGGACGCGCAACTACATATCCAACGCTCATTTATTTCACCTTTTCTTTTCTCTCCAGAAAGCTGATGAATGCCACAGGTAAACTAACAGCAGTTCGAGTCAACATCGCAAGCACTTTTAGGAAAAAAAGCATTCATAAAATAAAGCAACCGTGTACATTACGCACTCTCTCTCTCTTACCTATCCGTATGACATGGGGCATCCCGAAAGAGCTCTGAATCCAGAACAGAACCACTATAATCGCGCTCCGGTATTCCACATATTCCCTCCTGTTCTTCATGACTGGAAAAGACTGGGATCAATCCAAGGAGCTCTCCAAAAAAAGAAAAGAAACTGCTCATCAAATTTTAAATGGCTGGGAGTCATATGAGGATTGGACTGACTGCGACAGATTTGCTCTCATTGTAGTTGGTTTGAACACCAGCTCGCCGTATTAATTATTTGATTTATTAATTTGAGTGAGTGAGTGAGGAAGTAAGTAAGTAAGTGAGCGCGCGCGCTCGGGTCTCAGACGAAGCTCCGGATCGGTGCGCGTCTCCACCTGCGAGTGCTGAGCTGCTGAAATCAGCCTGCAGGAGTCCCTGTATCCCCTTCTGTATCTCCTCCTACCGCTGATGCCGCAACAACCGGGCTGGAGTCCCGCGTCAGTGTGGATGGGGACTGAACGCTTCACGTTGCGCTGTCCGTTTCGCGTCTTATTATTGAAACGCGGCGGCGATGTGAAGTTGCCGTGCCTGCGCCCGGGTCGCTGTGATGCACACTGACGAAAAGCCTGTACTACAGCTGGGGAAGGGGGAAAAAAGAGTGAGAGCTCACACACTGAATGCATTTCGATGTTTTTATTTGAATTTGATCTTTTAAGTTGTCGGATTATGACAGGTGAATTAATAATGCCTGTAAATATTAGGCTAAAAAGCGAGTTATTCTGCGCTATTCAAACAGATTTGTGTTATTGTTATATGTTCACTCCTTTGTGTGAAAGGTCAGGTTTTCTGGATGCTTCCACTGAAGATGCTGAAACGTTCACGCTTTTACACAACATTCAAATAAAGTAAAAATATAGTTTTCTATAGTCCATTATTATTTTTATTTATTTTTACTTTGGTACAACCAAGATTTTTATTTTATTATATATATATATTTTTACCCGTACAGCAAGGTTTTGCTGTATCAACATAATATATATATATATATATATATATATATATATATATATATATATATATATAATAGAAAAAAAAATAGCTGTGTGTGTATATATATATATATATATATAAAAAAAAATATAGTGTGTGTGCGAGAATAAATAAAAAAAAAAAAAAAAGAAAGAAATAAATATATATATATTTTTTTTTTTTGTATTGTGTGAGAGAGAGAGTGTGTGTGTGTGTGTGTA